AAACTATTCCAAATTTCATGAACCATTGACAACTAATGTTCAGAAAAGTGACAGTAAATTCAATTTCGAAGAAAAAAAATTCACACTTCACTGAAAAATCAGAAGAATTGAAAATTTTTTAAAAACAGAAAGACGAGAATTTCTCAGCGGGATTGAATTTTCAAAACATTGAAAATTAAAGAATATTTCTTTTATTTGAAAAAAAAATACTGAATTAAAAATTACAGTTTTCCTTGATTTTTGCATGAAATTTGGGTTCTCGATCACGAAATTCCGCGAAATATCAGTGGTTTCAGCCGTTTCACAAACAGAATAACTGTCGCCATTTCTGACGTTTCAACCACTATAGTAAACGGTGCACTATGCTACTGGTGGTCACCCTGATCGGCATTTCGCGGCGGTAGCCACTGCCCCGAGGCTTAAATTTTGTATGTTAAAGACAGAGGGAACTGCAGAGACAGTAACAATGAATCCGTGGAGCTAGCGTTTGTCTCCCGCAACGCAGTCGTGCCTCCTCCGCAACAGCCCCACATTTCGGAGTAACTGAAGAGAGAATCGATGCATCCACAAACCTCTTTTTCCGAATTCCCAGAGAAATTTTAACATTGAGAGTCTGATAGTATAGGCGAGATGGGGATTAGCCGTTCCCTCGAGGCCATTCCCCAACAATGGCATACCCGCAATCGTGAAATAAATTCGTACCAGGGACTATCGCCCCGCGGTACTCAAACCCCGTGTCCTCTTTCTCTTTGTCCATTCGATTGGGCGAGGGAAAGAGAGAGAGAGAGCGCGAGAGAGAAGGGTTGAAAAAAACTCTCGTGTATCTTCCGGCGCTCGTTTCTGTCTCCACCCTTCGACCCTTTCACAGTTCGAAAAACGTTTAAATTTTCTTCTCCCAGCCAATGCCACTCGGTAGAAATCTATGCCAACTTTTTCAATCCGATTTCAGTCCTGATTTATGATCCGAAACAGGGGCCTCTGGACGAAATACGACTGAGGAGGAAAAAATTGAGAGGAGGATCTCTTGGCAATAATGGTGAGGGGTGAATGAAGTAAGTGATATACTCTGCAGGAATTGCCACTAGACGACTTATGTTATCGTAGTCATGGTGGTGGAAACCATGGCTCAAACTAATTCACGCGAATGGAAGATGATAAACATGAGGAATTCGGCAATTATGATGGAAATACTAATTTGTGGGTTTGAAGACTTTGAGAATACCGCGAGTTTTTTCAGCGACTAATTTCACACGATTTATTGACTAATCACTATTGGGAATTACAATGTTACAGGAGAATGACATTGAATTCGATTAAGACGAAAAAAAACTCTAGATTTTACCGAAGATTTTACGAAATTCCAAAATATTCGATTAATGAAAAATTCAAGAAGATATTTATGAGAAAATTGACAATTATGATGCAATGAATAATTCGAGAACTTTACACGATTCATTGACCAATCAGTATCGGGGATTACAACGTTGGAAAATATTTGACATTTTATGGACAGTTCACAAGTAATTTTCAGGAGAATAACATCGAATTAAATAATAAATTTAAAAAAACATCGAATTCGATTTACAGAAAAAAATCCAGATTTCGCTGAAAATGGAATGAAACACCAAAATGTTCAATTAATTAAAAGTTCACCAAGACATTTATCAGGAGAACAAAATCGACATCAGTGGATCTCCTGGCAATAATGGTGAGGACTGAGTGAAGTAAATGATATACCATGCAGGGATTGCCACTAGTCCACCGGTGATGCAGTAGTCCAGGTGGTGGAAAGCACAGGGCTCGAACTAATTCGCGGAAATGGACGGCCATGTGCGTCCACCGGAACCACCCCCTCCCCCTCAGCCGGGGATGGGTAAACCATCAAACCGATTGTAATCGGAGCAACGTCCGTACATCTCACAAGTTCCGGCAGTCCAGCCCCAGGCATATCTCCACGTACCAACTAACTGACAAAGGTGGAGCTGATAAAGGAGATGGCATACAAGTCGCCCAAGGGCTGCGGAATCGACGAGTCATCATAATAGGAGAGAGATTGCAATGAGAGACTGCACCGCAATTCGATTTTCTCTACATATCATCAGAATAACGTATCACCGTCAAAGAGACTGGGTCCACATCTCTTTTAGAACGAATGGTGGAAGTGGAAAACAAGAGAAATGAAAAATATTCTGTAATGAACAATCGTATTTCCCCCGATAAAAAGTAAATCGACTCTCGACGACGATGCTCTCGTCCCCGGGGGTATTCTTATGAAAATCGAAGCGGAAGGATCTGAGTGGCGCGGGGGGAGGGGCGGAGGGGCCGGGGGATGGAGATGCGCTCTAAATTATACGTTGGAATAAATCATTGAACGTGCACACTAGTAGAGAGATCGGATCTGACTGCGTTCTTGGACAAACGTGAAGCCTAGGCCAGGTGAAGTGGGTGGTATTGTAATGCAAATGGACGACGAGGGAGATATATCCCAGTGGCCAGGCATCATACTACATTTTGACTCGTTCGAGTCTCATTCCACGGAAACGTACAGGAATACTGTTGGAGGGGAATTGTGGGGTGTGTCCGGGGGAGATGGACATCTTGAGCGGAAGATCGTGAATCATGGGTTTAATATTGTGGTTTTAATCGGGATGGATTTTATCAGGGGCTGGGGGATTCTGGGGACGTAAAGCAGGGGAAGTTTTTTAAGTAATATTGAGGGATGAGGAGGAATTGAAATTTCTATAGTCATTGAATATTTAACCGCATTCGGTGATTCGAGACAGTATTGGGAAATAGAAAACAAAATTGCGGCCCGGCTTACACGGTTCAAAATTTTTCGTTTAATTCTTAATGTATTAATTCTTAATGAGAGAAAAAAGTTTTCCAAGCGGATGAGATTCTCTTATCTCGAGAGAATTTTAAGCGCTCTCAAGCCTAGAAATGATGTCTTTCTATACACGTGAATTGATAATGAAAGTGTTCGTTGTGCCTTCGAAACAAAAATTCCTCAGTTGGAGATGGTGACTCATCAAATCAGGAAAATGTGAATTCTCGCAATCCATTAAAGTCCAAATCTGACGCAAACTATATGAATTTATGGGAAGACTTATTGCAATACTTGAAAATTTTCTCTGGACAAGGGAATCTCATCGTGTTGAAAGGCTTTTTCCCCTCAGTCTGAGCACAAAATTATTTACCAGGAGATTTCACGACTACACAAATTAAGAAGAGACTATTTTCTTATATCAAGGAAATCATCTTCGTCAAAAGTAATTTTTCTCAATGTGTAATTGTCCGAAATCCGAATTGAAAAAAATTATCGCTGAAATGAAAAATCTCATTTCTTCCTTCCTCTATTCAATTCCCCGACAATCTCCTGAAAACAACCACTAAACCATCCCTGAAAGTTCAATTCTTCCCCAACAATGCAGCCCACATCAAGAACACAATATAAATTCATCGCAAATCCTCCCCCAAACGTCGTAAATTTTTAATTCCAGTTACGTCAATCCTCTCACTTTTTAAATAAATCTCCCTCCACGTATTAAGTATTAATGAATATTTAACAACTGTGGAGATTTACCTCAATTATTTTCACCATTAGTAGTCGCGTATGTGGCACACAATGTGGTTTGAGTCCCCGGGTACAGCTGTTACGCTCATGTGAGCCTTTATACCGATGGAAAGACAAACAAAGTCTTGAATAAATATGCGGTGTGCGTGGAGAAAACCGAGAGCGAGAGTCTAACGCTTATACGCTGCTCCTCCCTTTGCCATGCTGCTACGTTAGTAGTGGGCCATTCCAACAGGGCGATGCTAAATTAACGGTTGCAATTTTAATGGGGCTGTTGAAAGGGATGCTGGCCCTCACCGCCTGACTTTCCTCCCACCCTTTATATGCCAGCGCAAGTTTCGCCCTCGTTGTCCCCCACTATACCACTTGGAAGCCTACACGTATACATTAACCAACGATCTACTCTGACTTTCACGTATATTCAACCAGAATATTTCGCCCAAAGCTCTCAAGATTATATGCAAACTACTAAATCCCCCCGAAACAATTGAAATTAATTTTATTGTTAAGCTGTTGCGACTATTGATCATTGTTTGCTATTGTTATGCATGAGAATTTCATCCGAATTTAAAGGGCATTTGTAGTCAAATGAGAACTCTTATTTTGTTCGTTGAATTTAAAAGGAGCTTTGAAGAGAAATTTCTATTGAAATTTACTTTAAAATAGTAAAAGTGTGACAGTTTAAGACAGGATTTCACGAAAAACTAAAAAAGTTCACAGAAGATGAGAGTTTATATCGAGTTTTAACGATGCTCTTAAATTACAAATCAGTAGTGAAGTGGTAAAGGGAGATAAATCAACTCATCTCCCAGTTGAGTTTTTGAGGAATATTTCCGAATCTAAGGGAGATAGCGAAATTTTCGTAATTACATTTGTTGTAGCACTTAATCCGCTCCACAAAAAAGCTTATAACAAAAATTTTGCTCTCCCTTAGATTCCGAGATATTGATTGAAAACTGGTCAATAGTCAAAATTGACTTGTCTCCTTTTACCACTTCGCTACTGAAATAATTGACTCCATATATTAATTCCAATAACAACATCGTGAGTTAATTAATTAAATAAATCGTTAATCCCGAATAAACAATTTACCTTATCAAAACGAAAGATAAAATATAATATTACAACACAAAAAACTGAAAAACCACATGTTTATATTTTAGAAAGACGATTTATTTAATTAAAAAGGGATTAGGATTTTAATTTTCTGTGAGAGAGAGAGGAATGTTTTCCGGAATATTCCGGGACTTCTGAGAAATAAATTCCATTCCTGGGGAATGGAATTTATTTGTGTACGACAGCGATGTAGTGGAGACGTGGTCTCCCCAAAACGAAATTAATTTAATTGAAATAAATAATTTCCCAGAGTCCACGAATTTTCATAAACTCACATAAGCTCATTCTCTTGTTCCAGAACACTATCACATATTCGTTGGGGACTTGAGTCCCGAGATCGAGACGCAAACGCTGAGAGAAGCATTCGCACCATTCGGTGAAATCTCGTAAGTCTCCCCCCAACTCCACTTATTTTTCAATTGTCTTAATTTCCATAAGCATCCAACAGGGAAAAGGTGGATGAATTAAATGGCACCGCTCGTCGCGTCGTGCAATATTTCACCGGTGGAAGCCCATGCCGTCGCTTCATTCACTTTTATTCATTCCTCCGAGTGAAAAGACGTGCGAGAGGAATGGCTTAACGAGAAGCACGGCCGTCGAACGGTGCGGGCCAGAGACTCCTATAACACGTAAACGTATATACGTATATACTCTGAAAAAAAGGAGATGAAAATACGAGAGGGTCCCGACCAACACCTAGCACATAGCAGTGAGAAATAAAGAGTCCGTACGGGAAAAATCGATTTTCAACTCTGGACGGCTACTGTTATGAGAAAAAAAAGACCTCATGAAAAATTGCCACTGGGTTTTCTTTCAATTTTTTTTTTCTCTCGTACTACTTTCATTTTGAGACCGTATGTCGCCTCTTCCTCGCTTTTTTAGAGAAAATTCTCTGGTCAGTGGCGATGTATTTGTAATGCTTGTGTGACATCCTTCAGAGAGTTCACTTTGATCATTGAAAAACAATCGAGGACAGACAAAAATAAGAGTTGACGGAGCTTTCTCTCTTAATAATCAATATCGAGCCATTTGATACACAAGTGTCATCTTTGTGAATAGTTCAGCGTTGACCGTTGCCAGTGGATTTCGAGGGGAAGGGAACTCCTTGCAAATTTAATCTCCTCCAGTTTACCTAGTTAAAATGAGAACTTGAATAAATAAACTTTGCGAGAGAGAGAGAGAAAACTTGCGAAAAAATGCATGCACTTTTGAAAGTTTCGAGTAACGGACGGATTATTATTTCCGAACACCTCAATTAGTGTAGGAATTATTAAAACTTTCTTCCCCGGATTTAAAGTATTCACATAGTTAAAGTACATATAACAGGATTCGAGGGGGCGTACTTCTGCACTAACCTATTCTCTCGTGTTGATATTTTTTTTTATAAAGACCTAGACTACCGTCATTCCTCTTTTCTCAGAAGTGTCACGACGATTACCTGCGCTTACTGAGTGGATGAGAGCTCACTCAGGGGAGCGGGAAGGAATCACGCAGAAAAGTTGACAGTCACCGAAAAGTTTTAACGCTTCGCAGAAAACCAAGTGCTCGATTAGTTTGCAAACGACTATAACTTTTTCTCTCCCACTCCGCCCTCAAGATCTTTATCCGTATAAAAGTATGGGCAACTTTTGAGCGGAAAAAAAAGATGGAAAAAATGACGGGAGGAAACGGAATGAAAGTACCGCTCGTCCGATTGTAATGTTCAGACATAATAATTCAGTCGCGGCGCCGTATCCTGTGGATCCTTGGCGTTTTTTCACGTTCGCCATCGTTTGATGATCGATTCGCCTTCGTTCACCGGCTCAAATTTACCGGCTTATGTTGGAGAGCAATAGC